GTCCGGGCGGCGGCCTGGGGCGGGAGGGGGGTCCCGGGCTTGCACTCACGTGAGAACATAGTTGACGCTGACGATGCAGTGCGGCCGGGACGAGCGGCTGTTGTGCACGATGGTCGCGTAGCTCTGCACCCACACCCAGCCGCCGTGCTTCGCCAGGAACCTGTAGTATTTGGTGGTCACCTGGCCCTTCACCAGCACTGATGGAGAGACGGAAGGCGGGTGCTGAACGAGCCCCTCGGGTCGGCCCAAAGGCAGCCCCGGCGGCGAGCTGGGGGTCCCCTGTGCGTACTAATTCAGTGCGCGCCAGGCAGGAGGCGGAGGCGGAGGCGGCGGGCACCTTCCCAAACACAGCGATTGTCCTGTTAATTTGCTGGAGCCCTGGGTCCCTCACGGGCCGCAAAGAGGGAAACACTTAAAGTTGGGGGATCCCACCCCTCCCCCCATTCGATTTTGTAGCAACGTAAGGTAGGGGCTGGGCAGCTCACTCCCTGGCTCACAGCCCCGGTCGGGAAGATGAAGCTCAAAGCAAAGCAAAGCGGTATCAACAGCAGAGCGAGGGACACGGCTCAATGCGCCAAAGCGCGCGAGCAGAGTGGGCCGGCCTCGGGGTTTCCTCCCNGAAAATAAAACCCCTCCCAGCGAGAATTTCGCCAAGAAACTCAGAAATTCTCCCTCCGCCAGTGAGGGCCAGCGGAATTCAGCCAAACAAGGTGGGGCCCAGTGTTGGAGGAGCCGCCCCCAGGATGCCACCTGCCACCACCCCTGGCTACTAGGGCACCCAACTGTCCGCTGGCTGGGGGGCTTAAGTCATGCCTTCTCCCCATGCCTTCTCCCCTCCCCCGCTCCTACTCGCAGGGGTTGCCCGGTGACACCGGGTGGCGCCTTACGCAAGTGGTGGGCGCAGCGCAGGTGGAAGGTGTCGCAGCCGTGCACGTGGTGGTACAGAGTCTTCTCAATCAGGTCCTGAGGTTCGTACCCCGTCAGCTCTGCCACTCTGCGGAGAGCAATCCCTGTGGGATGAGCGCGGGGGGCGGGGGTGCCCCACCCCAGGCAGCCACCTGAGACCTGAGTGCCCACCCTCACTTCGCAGGGCGGGATCTGTGACTCCATCTGCGAAATGGGCTCCTAAGATCCTGGAGGAACTCTCTGCCACTGAGCAGGGCCGCCCTCCCGCTAGGGGTGATTCTTCCCTC